AGAGAAAGTAACTGTAAATGCAGAACCTTCCCTGGGAGGTCCCCTCACCACGTACAGGAATCCACGTCGAGGGGAACTTCTATTTGTGTTTTAAACAATAATCTATCAATGAACAGTTGGTTGTTCTACATAATTTCTAATCGTGTGTAAGAGCAGTTGTTTCTTTTGTATGTGTGTGACAAAACTTTGATTGGGCTGAAAATAATAATTAAAAATATACAAAAGGGTGTCTGGGTGTTGGTTAACAAAAGTTTCGTTAGTTTTAATTAGCAAAGCTACTTTAATTTTTCTTTTATTAATGCATGGTTCATGTTTCAGTATGATGGCGTTTTTGACAGAAAAATTATGGTTGTTTTTACTTATGTGTTCATGCACTTGAGAGAGAGGTTTATGATAATCTTTTATCCAGGTGTTTATTTTGCGGCCTGTTTCACCTGTGTAAAACACCAGGCAGTTGTTACATTGTATTATGAAAATGTTTTCTGGAGGGGTGGACTCGTCTTCATAGCAAATATTTGACTTTTATTCTTAGAAGAAAAAAAGAATCTCGTTCTTATATCAACTAACAACTGGATTCTCTCAGCCATGCGTGGATTCATGCAAATTTGTGGTTTCACATTTTGTCATTTGCAGTTTTTATGGGCGTTCTTTTTTTTTATTTTATTTTTTTATTTTTTATTTTTTTTACAATTACATATAAGGGAAGCAACTTTTCATGTTCTAAGATAACGTTTCATCAATCATGAATTTACTCCAGGTAGTAATAAATATACGATAATCAGAATGTCGTGTGAAAAAAGCTATAGTTATAAAAGACCTCACAACATTGTTTAAAATGCTTATAAATATTCATTAGGGCAAACTATAGTGTGCGTGTCAGATTGGACATATTTTTCCGAATTGAGTAGATTTTATTACCATAGTAAATCTCATTATAATTTTGTAATAGCTTACCTAAGTTTATTTTTATTTATTTATTCTTAAAGTGTAAGTATATGTATTTATAAAACCTGTTGTTTCTGTATGAAATAAAAGAATATAGAGGATTTATATGTCACATGTAAAGGAAAATAATAACAATAGAAAACTGTGAGAAAATTACAACCCATTTTATGTCCACTGTATTATGTTATTAAAATCAACACTTTTCTGTATTTACTATCAGACGTTAACTCTGAAGATATTTTGAGATTATTATCACTAGATGGCGACACTATCTCAACACCAATATCAATTCTTCGCATTCCAAAACTTTACATAATTTGTACCTGAGAGAAAACCATTGAAAACTAATTATAGGATATAAAATTTTTACTTCATTAAAATGCACAATAACTAATAATATTTCGTTTTTGCTGTAATTCTAAAGGATATAAAAATTACACGCATTCAGCTGCAATGGTAACAGAGCAGGCCAGTAATATAAGTTAGGTGTAATGTGGTTTTAAATATAAGCATTGCATTACTACTGTTAATTTAAACTTAGTTTAAGTTAATCACAAGGGTTTACTAATTCGTATAGAATGCAAAGAAATGTGTAAAATGTTTTCAAGCAAATTTGATGAATAAAAAAACGCATAATCTTTACATGCTATATTTAATGTACTAATAAATGAAGCTTGTATCAAGTTCATATAATTATTGTAGAATGTGATATAAAATGTATGAATATGTTTATTAACAAAATTTCAATTATTTGTTTGGAGCTTTTGGGCTGTTATAATATTGAGAGCCTCCTTATGATTCAGCGGGAAATTTAAAAGCTTCTAACGACAACATTCACGTTTCGATACTCGTGGTGGGCATAGTACAGATAGCCCATTGCGTTGAGTATGCTTATTAATAACAAACAAACAAATAATGTCAAGTGATGGAATTTATTTATATCCGAACCGTAACGAAATGTTTATTCTTTAGCTTTGAATGAAAAATATAATCACAAATGTAAAATGATGTTCATGGATAAATTTTGAAATGCAAAATAGTTGCAAAAAAGAAATAAACTTTTTTCGTGTTCTCTTCTAATCTGCTAAGTGAAATTATGTATATAGTTTTCTCTCTAAAATATGTTTTAAAGCTGTAAAGAGATGGCGCCACAAGACACAATAGTGTTCATTACTAGGCCCGTTGTTCCCTGATATATGTGAATAAACAAGTAAGAAGGCTGTAACAAAAGTCGAATATTTTCTTTATTACATAAAATCTGCATCATTCTGCACATCCTAATTTGATATTGAATTCAAAGTACCTGAAGATGTATATAATACAGAACTTATGCAACATTTTGAATACGTTATAAAATGTCACGTTTTTAGATTCACTAAATGAAATGTTTCACCAAAACAAGAAAAAATTATATATTAGTTTAATTAAGTATTAATTGCAATATGTTTGTTTTAAAGAGAGCTTAGACTATTAAACTGATAATAATAATAATAATAATGCAGAATGAAAAGTAATCAATATTTGCCTGCAGTGAAAAGTGTTTAAAGTTTTTCCACACAAGATAAAAATACAAACCATATTTTGTTACATTTTTAACATTTTAGTCAAAAAGTACTTTTTTGGCTAAGATTAGATCAAAATTTAAAGTGTGTAAAATGGAACTATGAGTAGAAGTATTGAGGGTTACGCTATCGTGAATGTATTTCTTTTGCCTTGTTTGTTTTTGTAAATACTTAAAAAGATTTAACACATGTTTGAACGTTCTAATAGAAACAAGCGCTGTTTACAAGAAACTATACTTGTTCTGTTGTCCCCTGATGGGTTCAGCGGTAAGTCTGAGGGGCTATAGCGCTTTAACTCGGGGTTCGATACCCGCGATGGGCAGAGCAAAGATGGGCCATTGTGTAGCTTTGTGCTTAACAATAAACAAACAGAAAGTTTTTTTGTTAAAAAATCTCTTAACTCAAATATAGTTGTTCACGCATCTATATCATATTTTGGTATAACACATAATTTGAATGAAATAGAATTTTATTTTAAAAGCAGTTCCAATGGGTATCGTCTATGGTTCATGTCGGTTTTTGACATTTTGTACCCCAAAAGTTGTAAGTTTAGGGACTTGCGTTGCAAAAATCTGGGTTTCGATTTTCCGCGATGGACAAAGTACAGATAGTCCATTGTGTAGCTTTGCAGTAAGAAAAGTGCAATTTTTGACATTTTACCAAATATTACATTGTAAATCTGAATATTACTATTGTAACTCAAAACCGAAGGAATAAAGACATGATAATGGCACGTATCATATTGTATCTACGGTTTTTAAAGTATTTTAGTATTGTAACTCAAAACCGAAGGAATAAAGACATGATAATGACACGTATCATATTGTATCTACGGTTTTTAAAGTATTTTAGTATTGTAACTCAAAACCGAAGGAATAAAGACATGATAATGACACGTATCATATTGTATCTACGGTTTTTAAAGTATTTTAGTATTGTTACTCAAAACCGAAGGAATAAAGACATGATAATGACACGTATCATATTGTATCTACGGTTTTTAAAGTATTTTAGTATTGTAACTCAAATCCGAAGGAATAAAGACATGATAATGTCACGTATCATATTGTAACTACGGTTTTTAAAGTATTTTAGTATTGTAACTCAAAACCGAAGGAATAAAGACATGATAATGGCACGTATCATATTGTATCTACGGTTTTTAAAGTATCGTTTGTAGTTCTTTTGATGTAGTGGAAACACGAAGGTTTGGAGGAGGGGGGGTGTTAAGGAACTAAAACTAAGCTTATAGTATCTACATTCTACGTGCCTAAGAGAATAATATGAATAAAACCGTGTGTTGAAATAACACCTATAGAGAGAGGTTGGTTGGTTTTGTCTATATATGTCATGAAACATATGAAAAGACACTTTTCTGGTCGAGTTCAAAAATACTTTGAGAACGTGATAAAAAAGTTTGTAGATATGATGTTTCACTTTTATTTGCTCTCTGTAGGGCGTAAACAAAGAAGTCCTTATTGTTTTGATTATGATTCGTTTCGCCCTTCATTACGCGCACGAGGCAGTCCCAAGGGAGAACCTTGTCAGTAAGGTCCGCCCCGAAACACCGACATCGATGACATCTCACTTCACTATCTTTTCTGCAATCGGCTTCATTCGTAAACAACCTTCTGGGACAAGCAGATATTAATGACCTCCATACACTTCGCGAGTCCACGTGGTACGAAGTACCAAAAGAATTACCCGGATGTAAAAGGATGTCTAATGCACACATTGGTTGGGCTAGTAGAAAGGTGGAGCCAAGCTCTAGAGAAGCGGGGAAACTGAGCACTGTTACAAATAGAGTGAACTGTTCCTGCGCTTGCGGGTTGCCGTTTTAAGCATCAGAAGGAAAATTGGGCCGTTATGAATATATGTCACAAAATGAAGCTAGCTTCCTGGTTGTTTTCACGTGTTCAAGTAACGTGCAGCGAGCTGACAACGTGAAGTTTTAAAAGTGAAACACAGACTTCAGTCTTAAGCTGTCAAGAAACCGATGGTGAAGACAGAGAGCTGATGGAGCTCGCTATGCACTTTGTGGTAGTCATTGCCGTAACGGTAGTGGGTTTGTTATCTGCCTCAGTTCCTGCTGCAGCGGCCCATAGCTGTGCGATTGCTCGCGTGAAATGTGCTTACCGAAAAGGCTGCGGGACGGCTCTCAGGAGTTATATTATCGATTGTGCGAGTGTATTAGCCGGGAAAGCTTCGAGCTGCTCTACTCTGTGTAAACGTGCATTGATTTCTTTGACTAGTACTCCAGAAGGAAAAAAACTGATGGCGTGTGACTGTAACGGGTCAGAATTCTGCCAGTTGAGTAAAGAACGTGTAGAAATTTGTCGTCCCGAGGTCAGTCGGGCTACAGCCGAAAATGTTGTTGTTTCTTGTTCCGTGGCTCATTGGATTTGTGCGGCTGACCCACCGTGTTCAGCAGCTCTTGGGTACTACCACCACTTCTGCCATAAGATGTTTCACGGATATCAGTGCACTCATCGCTGTAACAATAGTCTAGCAATACTTAATCGTCAGGTTAAAGCCGAAAAACTCAGGACATGTTACTGCGACGGAACTGAAGACTTCCCCTGCCGGCAAATGAGGTCTAATACGGAACGTTTGTGTTTTGGCAGGGACGACTTTGAGATTGGAAAGTCTTCAGCTGAAAACGAGAAAGGGCACAGTCGGTCAACTGCTCCGCCAAAACACGCTCACGTGCTTACGTGGGCGCTGTTGATTTTAGACTTTATTTCAATTTTCAGAGGCTGGTGTCGTCTTGAAATACGGAAAATCTACAGAAGGTGACACAAAAAACAGCTGTTCGAGAAGATCTCAATGGATGATGTTTGGTAAGTTCCATAAGTTCTACTTTAAAATAGGTTTGGAATTCATTGAAGTTGTTCCTCGTTCAGATATCATGTACTGAGTTTGGTGGCACTAAGTTACTGGCAGTGTTTTACTTTTCTGTTTGTTGTTCGGGCATGTACTGAGGTTGGTGGCACTAAGTTACTGGCAGTGTTTTACTTTTCTGTTTGTTGTTCGGGCGTGTACTGAGTTTGGTGGCACTGAGTTACTGGCAGTGTTTTACTTTTCTGTTTGTTGTTCGGGCATGTACTGAGGTTGGTGGCACTAAGTTACTGGCAGTGTTTTACTTTTCTGTTTGTTGTTCGGGCATGTACTGAGTTTGGTGGCACTAAATTACTGGCAGTGTTTTACTTTTCTGTTTGTTGTTCGGGCATGTACTGTGTTTGGTGGC